AAAGAAAGAAAGAAAGAAAGAAAGAAAGAAAGAAAGAAAGAAAGAAAAAGGCTGGGGTTGTGATTCAACAGTGCATCATCTATAAGAGCGTGGGTTCAATCCCAAGTGTTGGGGAAAGTTATGTATTATCTTCCTATCTTCCAGACTGGAAGAATTATTTGATATAATCCGTTGCACTTGTTTCAAAAGCTGATTTTTTTAAATTAATTTCACAACATGCATTGCCCAGACTCATAAGCTTACCTACACACACACACAACAAACCAAACTAAACTCCAAAGATATGCAGTGACAACTCTGTGAAACGTGACTACTTTTATCTTCAAGATTAAAGTAGGCCTAAATAGTTCCCTCACACCACCACCCTGGGGTAAGGTTGTGCTACATGCCGTGAAAAAAAAAAAAAGAAAGACCCAGCTAGCAACCAAAGAGCTTCTGCTGCAGCCAAATGGAATCACAGTGCTTTCCGGATGGCACACACAGCTTTTTAAATCTCTAAATCGAATGGGAACGCTGCAGGCTTCTTCCCTGAAGTTCTCTTTCTCTACTAGTTTGGGTAAACAAAGGGATCCCCTTCGTGAAAAAGATCAGGTCCGCTCCAGAAAACAGTCTCGGACCACTGTGTTACTCTCCAAGGGACGAGTGTCCTAACCCTGTGACTCCATGTCTCTCAGGCTTATCTCGGGGACTTTCAGGACCTCCCTCTCTGTCTAATATTACCTTCACGTTGTCATTAGAGTAGGGGAGAGGTCTGCAAGGGGAGACTCTGAAAGTGAGCAGCTCTAACTTTAAGGTTTTTGGTTCTTTAGACCCCTGTGAGTGAAAGCATACCCAACCCGATGGCTGATGAGACCACGTCATGTCCTAGCTGGTCTTTCACCCCTTGCACAACAAGAACGCAGCACAGGGCAACCAGCACAGGCCATGGGGCCCTTTGCCAAAGGTTTGCAGATCTCCCACGTGGTTTCCCATCAGTCTGCTAATGAACTGTAACTATGGTAACGCTTACGCTTAAAGTTGTAGAAAACACATTCATAAGTCGTGTACCAAGAAAATAGAGTAAAACCGGAATTTCACTCTTACCTGCTTATGCCACCATTGACTATTAGGGAAAATGACTGACAGATACAATGCTGTATGTATGAGACCCTTACCTGGTGACGACTTTCCAGAGGGCTGCAGTGACTTATCCGGATAAAATGTCAGCCATTTTATACCGTATGTTAAGTCTGGAAGAGAAAGAATATTCAAGTGATTCGCAAAGGCGGTCAGATTTTTATTTTTTAATTGAGTAATTGCTAATACTTTATATTAAGACTACTTGAGGAGAAAATGAAGCTACCTGTTCCACACCGAGAACATATTTTCCCTAGTGTGGAGTTAGGCTGTCTCGGATCCTAGGTGCTTCCTGAAGATGGTCAGCATCCTTGTAGGTGTCTCACAGACAATTCAGCAAGGGGGCTGGACTGCTGAAATAGACCCTGAAGGCACGCTGTTCCGTGCAAACCACTACAGATTGGGTTTTTACTTATGAATCTGCAGTTAAACTTCGCTAAATATTCCCTTTTTAATATGAGGCTTATACAGCCGGTACTATATGGCATTTTGAAAATTCCTTTAGAGAAGACTTTTTTCCACTTATCTTTTTCATGTAAGTAAGACCTGCATGTTATATAAACACTGCTACTTGATAAGGTGAACCTCTTCCTCTAATTGTCTCCGGTTCACTTCCCAGAGACATGTTTTTTTGTTTATCCCTCTAGAACTCAAAGTGTGTGTGCGCACACACACAAGTACACAATTGTGTAGGTTTATTTTTTCTCTACTAAGATGTTTCTCTCCTTGTTGCTGTCATGAATCTGTTGGTTTTATTTAGTATCACAGCGACAAAGAATGTCCTCTGTCAGCACTCATAAAACAGCGTTATTTGTTGATAATTTATTTAGCCAGCCTTCTCTTGGGGCCTTAAATTTCTTTTCTCCAACTTCCCTTTCAGCTACAACAAAAAGTTTCAATGCTCATATTCATACATAGACGCTTTATACTTACATGACCATGATCAATAGCACAAGTCCAAAGTAGAATTCTTGAACTAAACTGTTTGCATGTTCATTAACGTTTTGATGGATATTAATAAAATACCACTTATAAAGTTAGCAATAAAAGTCTGATGCCAAAAATTTAGGTTTTTGTAAGATCTTGTTTGTGTGGTTTTTGGATTGGCATTTCAGTACCTATGGATGAAATGGAGTTTCTCAACTTCTAATGCTTTACAAGAGCTTTTCTGCTCTTATTTGACTTAGCAATTTCTTTTGCTTATTTTTTCAATTGGGAAATTCATAGTTTCTCACATTAAAGAGTGCGTATTGTTTATAGAAGCTGGTATTTTGCATGTAATGTGTGGCAACTGTACATTTTGCAGGTTTACAGTTTATCTCTGGAATTTGTTTATTGTTCTTCTTATTATCTAGTTATTCTGGGGGGTTTTGTTTGTTTGTTTGTTTGTTTGTTTGTTTTGTAGCTAGATTCATCCATTGTGTCGATTGTGGATCTGGAAGATTTTAAAAAGCTTACTTTATGCTGCAGAGTTTCAGAAAAGGACTGCATACAGGGGACACAGAAAACCCAATATGGAGATCATCTTGACTGTAGTATCATAACAGAAGGGTTTTGGCACTATCTTCATTATCAAAAGACCTTTTCGTAAGAAGATTTTTCCATTAAAATACTAAGATGATGTAAAAAGCTATGGGCTTTTTTCCCTAAGACTACACTTTAGGAAGAAAATTAGGAAATCTCCGTTTTACAGTGCCATTCTTCAGGGCATTAACCATGGTGGGCTAAGGAAAGATGTTCAGAGTGAATTACGAAAAAAGTGAAGGAAGTCCAAGGCAGGACTTGGAATATTAAGCTAACAGAGACCTGCTGAAGAAAACTTAGACTACAGACACAAAAAGAAAGAAAGACTCTTCAGTGAGTTACCTTCTAAAGCTTTTTAGGCCGGTTGTATATGTTTCTGGATCTTTTGTTGTTGTCCTTTACAAATTTTCAGGCATTAATAAAAATGAAGGGAATGATTTTACTCACAGGCCAGTGAGTACAAAACTAAATTATTTTCGTTAGAATGCCAAGAACCAAAACCCAGCTTTAACAGTATTTTGACAAGAATCTACAAAGCCTGTGTACACAGAATGATGCTTGTGGCTTATGCTTTATACGCTGCTTATGAATACGTTGTCATCAACTGTTATTAAAATATAAGATTAAATATACTTCTTTATCATATTGCTTCAAGTTGTGGCTGCTTAGTTGTGTTGGCAAACCTCTTCTCCCCTCGGGTCTAGTTTCAACAAGTTTTTAAGAAATCAATACGTAGGAAGCACTTCAGATTCTCTTCCGTCGCAAATAAAGAGACAGCACTGAACTGTGTGCAGTGAGTGAATGGCTGGGAAGCATCGTGGTACAGTGTGTCTTATTCATGGTACAATGTGTGACATCATCTGAACCGAAAGACGGTTATTAAACCCAGCTTAGCAGAACATTCTCATTCAAGAAGAATGACACATAGATTTAGAATCACGAATGTCATTGAGCTGAACACCACGAAATATTTGAGTCAAAGAGTAGAGAAAAGTTCGATGATAAAATTGTAAGCATACGGAGGAAGTTCTTGTGAGATGTTTTAATCTGTTTGGAAGAAAAAAAGAAAACAACCGCGTGGTAAGTAGTCTCACTCACAAGCCAGGCTTTGTAAAGCTGGGGAGGGTGGTCACAGAGGGCCCATCAGGTGTTAGCACTGAGAAACTCTGCCTGCTGCGTGTTTCACATACTCCATGTGCTGCTACCTCCCCTGCTCCTGCTACACGGTATGCTGGTCTCTCTGAGTTGTGTTTTGCCCCCAGCCTTTCCCGTAGGTGTTAAATTCTGTATTGATAAAGCTGCCAGGTAGAATTTATCACTAAGAAAACTGTGACAACTGTCTTGATGGCAGGACATAATTCTCAGACACGCGCCCAGCGAGTGTCTTCTCAGCTCAGTCTCTTCGCCAACATCAGTGATCCTCTGCCGAAACAAAAAGCATTTGGTTGGCTCTGTCTAACAAATGTCAGACATCTGCATACATTGGGAGGAATCCTTCGGGAACTAAGATGGGTAGAGTGTCACTGGCTTAGAAGAAGTCACCGCTTGCTCAGAGCTGGGCCACTCTATATCTAGATCTATGGCAGTGTTTATAAACCATACGTTAGGTAAGTAAGAGCCTATGCTGAAAGCTGAAAGTAAGGTGTGATTTGAGTTGGCATCTAGACATGAACTTCCAGACCCAGTTCCTGGGAAAGAGCCGTACATGATAGGCAAAGACTCTGCCAACCAAGTTATACTCCCAGCACCTTCTACCCCAAAGGTAATGTTTAAAAGCCCATCACCTAGCCAGGAATGGTGGCACATGCCTGTAATCCCAGCATTCAGGGAGGCAGAGGCAGAGGCAGGTGAATCTCTGTGAGTTTGAGGTCAGCCTGGTCTACAAAGCAAGTCCAGGACACCCACGGCTACACAGAGAAACCTGTCTAAAAAAAAAAAAAAAAAGCCCATCACTTTTAAAAAACCACCTTTGTATTTTTAAAACTGTTCTTGAACTCCTGATTCAATGGGGACTCCTGCCTCAGTTTCCCAAGCAGTTATGACCATAGACTGTGTCCAGCCCCACTTTTAGAAAGTTTGGTTGGGAAACAAGCATTACCCAGGTTCCTCTCCTCGCACATACCCATTAAACGGTAAACTGACATACAGTTCTTGCAACTGATAGCTGAAATTTCTAGATTTCTTATTGGCGTACGTCAAGTTGACTATTATGAATAAAATATAATCATTCTAAATGGTCTTCTTCCTATAGAGTAATAGGCCTGGATTTAAAGTTATAACTTTAAATAAATTCTTAAGCCATTAACTTTCATCAGATAGTGGGTTGCCTAGCATAGGACAGACAATGTGGCAACAAACAAGACTTTGGGGTGCTGTTTACCTAATCGGGAGGAGGGAGGGAACCACAGGGGGGGATACAAAGTGAATAAAGTGTAATTAATAAAGAATTTAAAAAAATCTTAAGTGTCAGCTACCACACTTGGATTATCTCTTTATCTCCATTATTTCTTAATATTCCAACCGATAACATGAAGATCCAGTAGAGACCATGCCATAGAGTTTTATGAAGATTAAAAAGAGGACACTCACAAAATGAACACTCTGTGGTATGTGGTATATCGTGAATAAATTTTACCTTGATTGAAACGTTACTCTATGGCAGGGATGGGGGTGGGGGGAGTTCACTGTGTTACCCTGGCTGTCCTAGAACTGGCTCTGTAGACCAGGCTGGCCTGGAAAGCAGAGATCCACCTGCCTCTGCCTCTGCCTCCCGAGTGCTGGGACTAAAGGTGAGCACCACCGCCCCCCATTAGAAAACACTGTCTTATACAAAGGCCAAGAAAATAACATCTAAGGTAATCGTTTTAAGCAAAGCATGGGGGGGGGGGTACCACAATGCTTTTCTGTCTTTAATGTGTTTGAATCACACAGTTGTCTCGTGAAAACGCAGACTCTTATTCAAGGAGTTTGGGGGTTGACATTTCCATAAATTCTCAGCTGATTCCCAGAAGGCTATGGACTATGATAGCATCTGATGTGACTAGATGGTTGATTCTGCTTTGAAATGTGGAAGACAGAAGCTTGACCTGCCTCGACGCATTAAAAACCACTGATTTGAGATGTCAGCCTTTCATTGTCCGACTAATTTTTCGTCCTCTTTACATTTTCCTTGCCAATATTTCTTGAGGTTGAGAATGATATTAATGTCTATGTCCCAATGAGATCAACGTTAAGCCTTTTTCTTGTGTATAATGAATGGGATGAAACACTAAGTGGATTGAAAAGGTAATTCCACTGTCACGCTTTTCCTCTGGCATGAGGGATCTGCACAGAGTTTAGCAAGAGGTTATGAGGGTACACAGAGTTCTCGGGAGGAGCAAAAGGAGCTACCATTTTGGAGGAGTGCAGAAATGGAATGGGGCACCCAAACTGGACATCCATCCTATCTGAACACTAGGGCAGGAGAAAGAGTGGTTTTTAAATACCTTCTCTTTCTCAATATGTGCTTAGCCTGTCCAATAACTCTGCAGGGCAAAGACCATTTTCATGTATTGGCATGTCCTCAGAGGCTGAGTGTCACTCTGCTCCATACAGTTGCCTTGGCAAGAACCTGCTGCTGCTGACACAGATCTCTCAGACAATTCTTTATTTCCCAAAGGAGAGTATGATCTTTGATTCGTATAAAATGAGCAAACGTCTAAGCAGCTCAGAGAGTTAGTTAGCTCAGAGAGTTAGTTACAAACAGGCACATGTGTGTGTTTCCAGTGTTCTTGTCCTGTAGTTAACTGAGACAAACGGTTAAATTCAGTGACCTAACAGCTATTATCTCTCGGTGAAGATCAAGGTGTCTTCTGTGTCTACAAAACGAGTAAGAAATCAGTTCATCTAAACCAAAGGACCATTTCTCATGGGATTTAAAATTTGGAACACATCCAGAACTAGGAAAGACGTGCTGCCATAGAAGCAGCAAGGTCTCATTACTCACTTGATTCCCAAAGTTTTAAATAACATAAATGTAATCGAACATAAGAGCATCAAAACTCTTGAAAACAGTCTTGGGCCTGGAAGTTATAACAGGAGCTAGCAGATTCTAGACACATGTTTCTACTTAAGACCTTTAGGAAGCACCTATTGAGGAACCAAGAAAAAACAAAAAGTACTTCTAAATTGACCTCTAAGACTAAAGTAGAACAAAGCAATCACCCGGTATTTGAACCATATACCAAACTCTTTTAAAAAAAATTTTTTTGAAGCACAATTTCATCTTCATGTTCAAAGTAAAATTTTTCTTTTCTGAATATCTGCTATGAAAAGAATTAAAAATCAGCAAACAGTTCATGGTAATACAGCTGTCCACAACAAATGTGTATATTTGTCATTTCTAGGAATGATCTAAATATATACTTTGTTTTGTATTCCCATCTGTCAGATTCACTGTTGGGGCAATAACTCTAATGAATCTTCTGGCACATTTACACCACTTTAGATTTCTTCTCTAGGACGGAAACACTATGTTTTAGAGCCTTTAATGGTTTAACCGTAGCCACTTGCCAGATCATTTGGATATTACCTTCTGCCACTTAGGTAATACTGGTTAAAAGTAACTGTAGCTATGAAATCATTAAAAAGTTGATTTTTAGAACCTAAAAATCAGAGGAAGGACCGGGCATGGGGATAAATAAAAAGCTGAAGGACGACAGTCTGTGCTGGGCAGCCAAAACATGCAAATGGGACAGAAATTCCATCTCTGTCACTATAACAGATTTGAAAGCAGAAAATAGCAGCTCTCACTATCTGCTGGAAAGGACATTGTAAAAGCACAGAGAAGGCACACATCTACCATCCAAACTGTGCTTCAGACTCCTTTCTGCCTAAGTCCTTCACTTGGATTTGGAGTTAAGTGTAAAATTAAACTTTCCTTGGCACAATCAAAGCTAGATGTTACTGCTAATTTGTAACACAGTATCCACACAGTCATAAGTAGCAGCAGTCAAAGGCAGCAAAGACATGCTCTGAATTAACAGGAACACCTCTTCTTCTAAACTAGACAGGAGACAATGAAAATCAAGAAAGCTGAAAGGTTCATAATGTGTCCTTCTTATATTGACCCAATTAAGACAGAAGACAGACTGGAGCTCAGTCTGCCTGCCTCAGACACTGTGATGGACACACGTTGAAAGCCTCCAGATGACAGGTCTTCCACTAGGAGAGACCCCACTCTTTTCTAAGCTGGTGGATGCTGGTTCAGTTCATGCCAAGAAAGAGCAGAACCAGAAAATCAAGGCCTTAAGGAGGGGGAAACAAACCACGATCAACAGCAAAACCGTGAACAAACAAACAAACCAGGAAGAGAAGGGGATCTCGGAAAATCCAATCAATTTAAAGACCTTGCAACTTGAGGCCACTCCCTAAAGCTCAAGCATTATATTTTATGCGATTATAGGAATCGTCACCTATGATTTCAGGATGGACCCATGGAACTATCATTAAGAAACATTTGTCCTGAGAAGACAAAAGGCAAGTTGGGCAGTTTTGAGGACTCTAAGCACGGGCTAATAAGGTTACCATTTTAGACTTCTATTCTGTCAGCAACAACCAAGAAGCAGAAAGAATGGACGGTTTTAATGACTGGAAGAGACCTTCTGGGCAGGGACCTGAGCCACAGAATTGTTAGACAAGCAAAAACACTCTTGATATCATGCAGTGACTTCAGTGGGAGGACAAGGAGGGTCCATGAGCATTAGCGGGAAACTGATCCTGGATGGGGAAGTGGCTGTCCAAGTGGGACCTTGATGGTTCCGAATCACCTCAGGAGACAAGCAAACAGGACAGGAGGTGTTTTGTTTGTTTGTGGTTAAACCAAGAAGATGAAATGCTAAAGCAAGCCTCTTGGGGTCTTTGGGGTTCTCTCTCTCTCTCTCTCTTTCTCTCTCTCTCTCTCTCTCTCTCTCTCTCAATAAAAAAAAAATTGCTATGTGCAATAATCCAGGACTCCGTGGTGGCAACTATCAAGAAAATCATTTTGGGAATGAAGTACCTTGAAAAAGGAGATAAATACTAAAGAGAAAGGCTGTAAGGTTGCTTGATTCCTCTCTGTTGCTCTCTCTTCCTGGAATGACACAGGAAATTAATGCTGCCAACTTCCAAATGGGACCTCAGGGCACGCAGACTGCCCAAATGTCTCCCGGGAGTTGGTGGTGGGTCTTCATGTTTAATGAGTTCATTGGCAGACAAGGGGCACCAGTAGCCCATTCCCCTATGCTTGGCCAAAGACAAAGGGACAGGTCAAGCCTTGGGTAGGGTTGCCTTAAATTTTCTGGATACCACTGCAGTCTGGGGTTGCTGAGGCACTGGACTAAACGTTTATGAGGAACGTGAAATGGAGCAGAGGAGTGGACAGCCCTGCGGTTGGCTCAGTGCTGAAAGGAGACCACTGAAATCCTGAGGGAACCTCAGGCCAAGTCTGCCTGCCCAGGGAGAGTTACCTGCTTCTCCCTACCTCAGTCTGAGGAATCAAAGAGCAGCTGGAAACATCTGCCGCGATGGAGTTTGGCCCACCTACTTTCTGTGTCTGATGCCAATGACCCACTAACCAAGGTTTTCGGGGAGAGCGTGCAGCGGGGAAGGCAAGTGCGGGGTCACTGGCAAACAAAAAGGGGAGGTTGGGGACAGTAACTTAAGCTCAAAGTATAACAACTTCAAATGGTCACATAGGCCACGGTTAAATTCGGGTCACAGTTAAACTACAACCGTTACTTAAAGGCACGGAGGAAAGTTGGCTTGCTTGCCTCCCGCAGGTTTCTCGCGGGTACTCGAAAGAGTTTGATCAAAACAGTACGACTCCTTTGGACCACGCTGCAAACCAGCGCGGTTTCCTTCCACCTGATCTGGAGGAAGGCAGCCAACTCCAGTCTGTCCTCTGGCCGGGGAATGAGCTCGCTTCCCTGGATCCCCCCGGGTCTTCTTTGCCCAGGACTCCGGATTCATTAGCGGTGACAAGAAACCGACCCCTCCCGCCCTCGATCACCACGCTGGCGGGACGCCTGGGTTGGGACTCACCCGGGGAGAGCGGCAGAGCTGGGAGAGCCGCTGCGCTGGGACCGGCCTCGGCCACTCCGGCGACCCGTGGAACAGGACTCACGCCCCGCGTCCTCTCCCGCCACCCAGCATCACCCAGTCCCTCTCAGCCGCCTGGCGATCAGCAGTGAGTCACCTCCTTATTTATAGACTAGGGGGCGTCACCGCTCCACAGGTTCCAACCCCGAGGCTTGGCTTTGCACTCCTCCCCCGCCCCGCCCCGCCCCGCCCCGAGACCCTCGGGCCAACCCTCTCCTCGAAGGCATCTTTCTCGCTGCCAGTCACCCGGTGTCACCTCCCAGATCCACGCTCGGCTGGTCCTGAAGTGTCAGAGTGTTAAATGTGCCTGAAGTGTTGAGGATGGAGGGAAGGGAAGTCGGGGTAAGGCCGCATGAATTGACTCCAAGAAAAATGCTCCACTTAGAAAGGAAAAAACAAAACAAAAAAACTTTTAAGGATGAATTAGGGAACTCCCTTGTCTTTGCTGTGACTAACTCGAAAATTGACGCCTTTGTTGTGAATCACAGATGGCATGGATTAATTTCAGAATTGTAAAACAAAAGAGCTGGTTATTAGTTCCTCCTAGTTTACATGTGGCTCGACAACATTTATTTAAAAAATAAAAAACGGACTGCCAAAAAAACAAAACAGCCCAAAGATATTTGAGAACAAAATGAACTCAGTCCTGAAAGAAAGAAAGAAAGAAAGAAAGAAAGAAAGAAAGAAAGAAAGAA